ATATAGAGAGATATAGATATATGGATATAGATATATAGTCACTACAAAATGGTCCTTCATTTATATCCCCCTTTTTGTTTAATTTTGTCAGAGATGTATATTCCGTTGCCCTTCATATATTGTAAGTGCATGAATTCAGCAAAGTAATCCAGTATAGTCCAGTAGTCTATAATAGAAGTGGGTTATCCGCATGGCTGACAATGTCAGAAGTTGTTGACTTGAGCCTTTTACAGCTCAGCATAGGAATATGGCTTTACTTTTTATACCTTGTTTTTATACTTTTCTGCTGGATGGTTCAGACCAAAATAAAACAAGACCTATATAACAAAAAAATGTAACTTTTGTAGCTGACAAGGTCAGTCAAATCCCCTTAGGACCTACTCTGAAAGCCTGTACTGCAGTTTGTAGATCCTTTGTCAGTGTCAGCCAGGTGGATGAGTCACGCCCATTGCTTGACCAATTTGCTCTCTGTGAAAGCCTGAGAGAATGTTTTCTCTCCAGGTGACTCTCTTTAGACACACTCTACATCGTCGATCATTTTCCTCTATGGCCCCATAATCTCCTTGAACAGAAAATTTGGGACACCACTGAGTTAAAGGATGTTACAGTACAGGTTCTCCTATGTCCTCCATCCTCATTGACCTTAAAGGCTACAGTCCCTTTTCCGAAGAGTATCATTTATTGGTAACTAAGAGGCATTAGACCAGGTAGCAAGCTTTCAAATCATCTCTGCAATTTGAGTCTACTGTATACAATTCTGAAGTTTTATCCAATCATCTCCTTGTAAAGGAGATACCGTGGTAGCCCAGGTCCGCCAGAAGTGCACAGCTGTCAACAAACCCAGTATTCAACTTTAATATTTTTGGTTTAACTAGTGAGACTGATAATCAAGTACTACAGTCATAAGAAACAGGTGTAGCTATAGACTGCCAGCAGGAACTAATATAATATTTAGAGGCCCCTTTTTAAATCTAACCTAGATTTTAATTTAATACTAGTATTATTTAGCCCTCCTCAGGATGGCCAAATAGCTCAGCAGATTAAAGTGCCTGCTTAGGCAGATGCAGCAGCTGGAGTTCAATCTCCAGCCTGCCGTGCCACCCCTACCCCCAGGACATGCTGAGATGGAGATTGAGACTGGGCCTGGTGGCGCACGCCTGCAAACCCAGCTTTTTGAGAGGCTGAAAACATATGGATCCCTATGAGTCCAATCTACATAGTAAAACCCTCTACACCCTGTAGACCCTTACTAAAATATAAAAATAAAATAAAAATAGCCCTCCTCTTTTTCTTTTTTCTGCTATCCACCAGGATGGATCCTCATCCTTGCTTGACCACATGACTTCCCTTGGAAGCATAGGCCTATTCTTCTCTTTACCAACTCTCTTTTTTTTATTCTTTTCATTTTTTGTGTATTTGGGGGCCAGCCAGATAGCTCAGTGGATTAAAGTACCTGCTTAGGCAGACGTAGAGATCAGGGTTCCATCCTCAGCACCATATGCCATGTCGACCCTGCCCCTGGGGCACACTGAGCTGGCAACTGAGACAGCGTGGTGGCGCACACCTGTAATCCCAGCACTTGGGAGGCTATAAACAGGAGAATCACTATAAGTCCTGATCTGTGTAGTGAGACCCTGTAGACCCTGCACTAAATACATTTAAAAAAATTTAGGGGCTGGTGAGATGCCTCAGTGATCTAAAGCACCTACTTAGAACAAGCTTAGCAAAGCACAGGGACCATGGTTCAATCCCCCAGCACCACATGCCAGCCAGCCCTGCCCCCTGGTGGGCTGAGCTGGCCACACACACTCACAAATAAAATTTAAAAAAAAATTTAAATGACTATTCTCTTTTTTTTGTATTTGGTACAGGGTCTCTCTACCCAGCTTGGACTGGTAGTGGTCCTCCTGTTTTCAGCCTCCCTAGCACTGTTATTACAGGTGTGCACCACCATGCCCTGACTCATTTGCCGGCTCAGTGCGCCTCCAGGGGCAGAGCCAGTGCAGCATGGGGAACAGGGATGGAACCCTGGCCCCTGTGCTTGCCAAAGCAGGCACTTAGTCCGTTGAGCTATCTCAACAGCTGTTTACTCTGCTTTTTTCTGAGCTGCTGGAGCATGTAGTATTGTTTTCCATTCTTTGACTTTCAGCCTCTGAATTTCTTTATTGGTTAAATGTGTTTCTTGTATACCATATATTATTGGATTTTGTTTCTTAATCCCCTCTGCCAATCTATTTCTTTCTTTTTGTTTCTTTTTTTTTTCTTCACAAAACCAGGGGTTGAACTCAGGCCCTTGCACTTGTCAGGCAAGGCTTATTCTCCTCAGCCATCTCCCTGGCCTCTTAAATCTATTTCTTTTAATTGGTGAATTGAGTCCATTTACATTGGTGGCTATAATTGACATGTATTGGCTTGTGTTTGTCATGTTATTTTCCTGCTGTTTGTTCCCTACTTTTCTCCTGTGTTTAATTGTTGCCCTGTTTATTGGGTTATTTCTGTTGTTATTCTTGGAATTGTGGTCATTTTGATCCCTTTCTAGAATGTCTTTTAGTACCGTTTAGACTTGGTTTGGTTGTCATGAATTTCTTTAGTTGTTGTTTGTCATGGAAGTATTTTACTTCCCCACTAAACTTGAAAGAGAGGGGCTGAGGAGATAGCTCAGCAGTGTAAGTGCATGCCTAGGCAAGCACAAGGACCCAGGTTTGGTTCCTGATACCACAAGCTGTGCTGGCCCCACCCCGGGTGCACCAAGCTGGCAACCAAGAGCAGGCACGGTGGCACACACCTGTATGCCCAGTGCTGGGGAGGCTGGAACAGGAGGATCACTATAAATCTGAGCTGTGTAATGAGACCTTGTACTAAATACATAAAATTAAAAAAAAAAACTTGAAAGAGTTTTGCAGGGCATATCAATCTGGGTTGGAATTTGTTTTCTCATAGGACTTGAAATACTTCACTCCATGCTCTTCTTGACTTGATGGTTTGGAATGAGAAATCTGCTGTTATTCTGATGAGTTTTCCTTCAAATGTGATGTTTCTTTTCTCTAGTGGCTTTTAGTATATGGTTCATGTGCTGAATTTCTGGGACCCTGATTATTATATATCTGAGTGT